ATCCACATGGTGGATTAAATAAAATAAAACTAAGAACAGCCACCGCCCGCCCCGCTGTTCTCAGCCTTGTTTTGTACGTGCCTCATGTCTTTCACTTTTGCAGCTTAATAATATTTTTAGTTTTCCTGTATTTGCAGTATGATAAATGGTAGGAGCATAAATATACGCCCAATTTTTTTTGTGTGTGTAAATAATAGATGACATTTATTTTGAAAAAAATTTAAAAATAAAGCGAATTTGATATAGCATCTTGAGTTCCAATATGACGTCGTCGACTAGTCGATATAGACTCGACTTTTGTCATGTTAAAGTCGACTTTAACAAATATGTAGTCGTTAAACCCCTGGTGGTAATCCTGATGCAGGAAGAGGGCCGCCTGCATCATGAAGGACCCCACTCACCCAGCACACACACTTTTTACCCTGCTCCTCTCAGGCAGGAGGTTGAGGAGCATTAAGTGTGGAACCAATAAACTGAGGAACAGCTTCTACCCTGAAGCTGTTATACTCATAAATCCCTAATCAAGATTATCACTGTGGGAAAAAAAATCACTCTAATACCACTTGATTGTTGATATGTGCTGCTGACTATCCATGCTGCTGATCTCATGCTGCTGATTTATTTCATGCTGCTGTGTTCATTTGTCCTCATCTGCTCACACAGACTCATGTTCGTGCTGCTGTTCAATGTATTGTTTTTGTACTGTTAGTGCTTAGCGTATTCTTTAAGTTAGTGCTTGCATTAAGCGTGTAAATTATAGCCGAATCAGACCTATGAGAATCGTGCAGCTGTTGTTCGGTGTATTGTTTTGCACTATTAGTGATTAGTGTATATCTTTGAACTTTTAGTGTACGTTTGGGCGTTCGTTTAGCGTATATCTTAGTTTATATCTTAGATCGTTATTTACTGTTTCTTTATACACTTTATATTTTTGCTATTGTTGGATGTAACTGGGACCCTGTGAACACAAGTTTGTTCCACCACATGCGATGTGAATGACGATAAAGAACCTTGAATCTTGAATAATCTTGCAGAGGTTTGAATTGGTGCCATTTGTAGTAAACAAATACAAAGTATTTGTACTTTGATTTTTTTGAGCTAGAGTTCTCAAACTTTTATACAGTGAGTTACAGGTGCTGGAGCAAAAAGTATTATAACCCTACCTGGTCTCCTTACAACTTCTCCAAAAAGCTTTCTTAAAATACCCAGTCCTCTCACTGATCTGTTACTAATTAACCCACTTAGCTGCAAAACGCTCCTCCAGCTGCTTCTTATCTATACCACTTACTTTTACAGACTTTTGTTGCCCCATTTCAACTTTTCTGAAATATGTTGCTACTATAAAATTCTAAATCGCATAATTATTTTTACAAAAACGATATTGCTAAGTTCTAACATTTTATATGTTTATTATCAATCAACCTTTATTTATACAGGTAATTCCCATTGAGCCTCGAGGACTCATTTACAAGAGAGACCTGATTTCAACAAAGAAAGATGACAACAATGGACAACAGCAACATCCATAAACAGTTATAAAAAAAAAGCATACTACAGTTTTTTTTTTTTTTTTTTTTTTAACAAATAGGATGGCTAAAAGGAAAAGGTAACAAAACAAAAAAACAGCTAGATTCCAAGACAAATGTAGAAAACTAACAACAGGAACATGTCAGCATTGGACCCTGCCAGGTGTCCAACAGATTCTTAAAGACACTTAGAGAAGTCAAGGTCGAGAGCTTCAAATCTTTTTGTAAGATATTCCAGGAAACTGGAGCGGAGTAGGAGAAGGCCCTTTTGCCTAGTTCAGTCCGCACTGAGGGAACACTGCAGGTAATAATGTCCTAATGTCCTGTTTGATTATAAATAAAATACGGCTTTGGGGTTTGAAAATTATTACATTTTGTTTCATTTATACCGATATACAATATCTTAATACAAAGTAGTTTCAGAATGAGGGTTGTAACTGACACAGAATTATTACTACGTGGAAACATTACCAACACGTGTGCATTTTGAAGTTTCCAGAAATCTGTTTAAAATTGCATGAATGTGATATATATATATATATATATATATATATATATATATATATTACTTTCATTCTGAGATTTTGTTTTTGGAAACATTAATTCCTCTTTTTCTGGATGTAAAGCACATTTTTTGGATGATTGTTTCCTCTGGTATCAGATGCTGTGCAGCTGGAAGAACTTTTACTGAAACTTTTGTAGTTTTGGACATTTGTTGTGATGCGTAACCATGGCAACAAGGCAGTTTTCGACAACCAACAGCAGCTGATTAACATCTCAAAAGCTCAAATAATATCTCAACTACAGCCCCAAATCTCAAATGAGTTAAAAAGGATGTTCTGTGGACGCATTCTCATCTACCTGCCATCTGTGCTCGAGTGCCTGACCACTGAGATCCTGAAACTAGCAGGAAACACAGCTCATGACAGTGGAAGGACAGGATCATCCCTCGGCACCTATTGGCTGTCCGCAGCGACGAGGAGCTCGGCAGACTGCTGGGAGGAGTGGCCATCTCTCTGGGAGGAGTTCTGCCCAGCATTCGGGCGGTCCTACAGTCCGGGGGAACCAAGAGGCCAGCCGAGTCTGGGTGGACGGATCGGACGGCATCTGCAGCCAGTTTCTTAGGATCCACTGTGGGATGGACCTTTACAAGAGATCCTTCCTGCCTACAGCCATCACAATCTGTAACATCTCTTAATGAAATGAGGATAACGAGTTACAACAACAAATAATTTCCCTTTGGGATTAATAAAGTATTTTTGAATTGAATTGAATTGTTTCCTAAAATTTGTTCTAACAATGATACATGATGCATGCAGCTCTGTCCCAGCACAAAAGTCACATAAACTGTTGAATAAATCTGTACATCTCCTGTGTTGATGCAGGATCTCCCACTGCTGTGATTCACCGACAGCCTCTTTGATCCAGAGCGCGCAGGGACAGCAGCTCAGAGTTTACCTCCTGTCTTGGCTGATGTCACAGAAGTCCATTAAAGCAGGACTACGAGGAAAGCGCGCATCTGTCGGGCCAAATTACAGGAGAATGACAGTGATGGAGTGCCTCGGGACTACAGTTAGAGCCTCTTATTTTCCCATCTGACTTAACATCAAACTCATGGACGAAGCTAATGATGCCAGTAAATAGCCATCACTCACATTTTCTGCACCTAAACCTGTGAGAAACAGGGTTTTTCCTTGTGTAATTAACAATCACCTTACTGGAAAATCAATAATTTTAAGGAAGTGGTTTGAAGACAGAAAATTATTCAGCAGCTATTGGTAATATAAAAAAGAAATTTTTGTTCTCCCATTTTTAGGCAAATATAATTTACTTGTTATTATGAACATGTGTTCGAGAGGTTTTAACAGTTTAAGCACAACTTTCTTTAAATATTCTTGATCCATATCTAGAAATTCTATTAAATGCTGAGTGATGTTAACTGCTGAATGAATATGCTTTAGGGTGGCTTTGGCTGAGTGGTTAGAGCAGTTGTCCTCCAATGCAAGAGTTGGGGGTTTGAATCCACCAGCTGTCACATGCCGAAGTGTCCCTGGGCAAGACACTGAACCCCTCATTGCCTCACGTGTGTGTCCCATTGGTGTATGAATGTGATAAAGCTCTGATTAATCTCTTTAGAATGACTTGTTCAATTAGCTTTGTACAGATCTAGTAAGGTGCTGGATGAATGGGTAAATGAGGCACAGACTGTGTTGTAAAGCTTTGAGTGTCTTGAATAGATAGAAAGGTGCTATATAAGTACAGTCCATTTACCATTTAGAAAAAAAAAACTATCACTGATTAATGCTTTTCTACAAAATTTGTCACATCATCAGAGCAGCAAATCGGAAAAAAAAAATTGTATAAACTGTTTTCTGCAAATAACTACTAAACAGTATAAAGCTTAAGTGGAAATTCACTCTGGTAGTGATATCAGATCCAGACCTAACACCTAATAATAAACTTTAGCTGTATATTTCTGTCATTTGTGTCACATATTTTGGCAAAGAATGTTATTTTTGATCATTCTAGCAGTCCTGATTCTAATTTAGAGAGATATCTACTTTTTTTCCATGTCACACTATCTTTGCTCATGCTTTAAGTTATTTTTTGTAAGAAACATGGATTTATTCCTGTGTTTTCTCATCCAAATTGCCCATGATCCATGTCTGAAATCCCCCTGGCAGTTCTGTTGCGTCTGCTCTTTAACATTTTCTTGCATCAACCTAAAATCGGTTCTCAATTATTTTTTTTAATGAACTGTAGGTTTATTATTCTAATAAAGTAGTTATCATTGGTGCAATCAATAAAGTGAGCGTTTGCTAACAATAAGTGTTGCATTCAGGAAAAGCTGGGAAATTTCACCTCAGTCGTTCGCCGTAAAAAGGAGATTCTCTGTCCGTTTGTTTTCCTTAAATTATTTGTCTAGCATAGCGTTAGCACCATAATAAAACAAAACCAAAATCGTTGCGGTTTAAAACACATTGACATTCGACGTATACCGCTTTATCTTTTAATTTGAGAAAATATCCCCCGTTACCATGAACTGAACACACGGAACTCGGCGTTCCGTTTCCATGGAAACGGGTGAACTTTCAAACAGCAGCATACCGAAGGTTTGAACCGAAAAACGTTAGCCTGTTAGCAACTATTAATGACTAATACTGTTTTTATATATATATATATTTAAAATATGTTTTAGGTGATAAGCTGGCTAGACTTTGACTAACATGCTCTTAAGTGATTAAACTTCAAGTGCGGTTAGCCTATGCTACTATAGCTAGCAAACTTATCACTATATCAACTTTTTCGTAGCTTATATTAATGTTAGGTATTACGTTCTCTTGCTCACTTGTCGTCATTCAACAGATTATTTTAATGTATATTAGGTTTTTTTTGTAAAGAATTCTGCAGGTGATTTGTTTTCATTAAGGTTTTATTTTTATTTTTGTCCTTTACTCATCCAAAGATCCCAGAAAGATGAGACGAATCATTGCTGAAAACCCAAACTGGTCCCTGGTCCTAGTGCCCAGTTTATCCAGTATGTGCATGCAATGCATTGTGAACAACTTTGAAGGTATTTTATTTTCTAATTTACCTTCAACATCTCACTTTTATGAGTGAAATTTGACTGTGATTTGTTTGTTTGTTGCAGAAAAGCAAACATATGAACAACTCACTCCCAGCCAACAAGACTTCATTCAGGAGAGACTGTCCCTGTCCCTGCCTCTGTGTGTGACAGCTAATCTGATCCCTGATGGTGTTTACTGGAAACGATGCTGCGAGCACAAGTGGGACCTCTGTGACGTCTCTCGTTATGGCTACAGCTGGAGAAGGATGTTCTTTGAGAGGCACTTGGAGAACCTCATAGAACTTTTTATCCCAAATGTAACAGAGCCAAAGACTATTCTTGATGTGCTCCCTCTTTGTAAAAACTATGTTAAGCGGCTCAACATCTCTCAGCTGCTGCCGCCTATAAAGGATCCCCAAGAGGAGAGGGTTGAAGAGGAAAAAGAAATAGATGTGACTTTAATTAATGAGCACGATGAGCCCTGTGTGCACCATTTTGATTTGGGGCTTGTGCTTAAGGAGCTGGCAAACCTGGAGGAGCTGCATTTGGTTTATAGAGTCAAAGAATGTGGGATGAACTTTGAGTGGAATATGTTTGAGATGACAAAGAGAGACTGTGAATCCCTCGCCAAGGCACTAAAGTCTTCTAAAACCCTGAAGGTAAATATTGATTCCTCCTGGTAAGATGTGTTATCTTTTTTTTAGCTGTGCATCCTTGCATAAGATGAAGGACGGGTATGTTTATGATGTAACTCAGCATTTCTTTTGCACTTTTTTTACTTTTAGAATGTCAACCTGGAAAATCACTGTAGGTACCAGGAGTGCCAAACTCCTTTATGCAAGGGGGCCAAATTTAAAACTTGTTCCAAGCCAAGGACTAATCTTGATCATTTATTGTAAATAATAATAACAATAATAATAAATCACCTCAGCTTTAGATGTAATATGTCAAACTGTTCATACAGAAATTTAAATGACTGTTTCCCAGTGACATACAGAATTTAAGCCAAACATATAGTAATGAAAAAAAGGTTAAAGAAATAAGAATAAAATAAAGACAAAGATGAACTTGAAAGCAGATATTTGTTACTCTAATGCACATTAACTCAAATCAGACAAGAGTTTTGTAGATCTTATTTTGTTCTCTATTGCTCTCGCCACGTCAGACTCAAAGATTAAAATAAAACCTACATTTTTTAGCTTTAAAGCGATGAGAAGACTGCACTAAACAGATTAAACTTTTCAGGCAAAATAAGTGATGAAGAATCAGTGTCACAGACTGGAGGGCCAGATCTTAAGCAATAAAATATGTCATTCTGGGCGCCAGATTAAGTGTAAACAAGGGCCATATCTGGCCTGCAGGCCTTGAATTTGACACATGGAATCTAAACACTGTATGTCCTCATAGATTTTTAGATTATTTTTATCATTTAAGTATATATACACAAACTATAATGACCCTAACTAGCCAATAAATCATTTATTTGCATATCACAGAACTTTCCAAATGCAGCTTGTCCAAAACTAATATAATTAATCCATCTTTCACCTCCTTGTGTGTTGTATAACTACTTTTCAATCTAAAGTATTTAAATGTTTTGATTTAAAAGCTAAAGTTTTTGCCATAAACTATACACTTGTTAACTTAAGTGTAATATTTCTCCAGCTTTTGCGGCTGCATCAGAGCCACGTTGAGGATAAAAAGTGTCGTCTGCTGGTGAAACACCTTCTGGACCACCCATCCCTGAGGGAACTCGACTTATCTCACAACCTAATTGGAAATAGTGGAGCCAGGGCTATCGGCAAGCTCCTGACCAGGAGTCAACTGGAGATCCTTAACTTGTGTAATAATAAAATCAGCGAGCTGGGGGCCAAAGCTATAGCTCATGCTGTGTCCAAGAGCTCCACTCTGTTGGTTCTCAACCTGCGTCTTAACCTGGTGAGGGATGAAGGGGGCACGGCCATCGTCGAGGCCTTGCAGAGCAACACGACTCTGCATCACCTGCACCTGGGAGGCAATGATGTGACATGGCTCACTGCTTCTGCTCTCGCTAAGGTCCTGGAAAAGAACAAAACTCTGAAGAGCATCAATCTTTCCTGCAACAGTCTCAGTGAGGCACGTAAGATGTTCAGCAGCATGACAAAATCACAGGCTTTTGCACATTTAGGATGAAAACATGACACAGAGCATGACTATTTTTGCATTTTCACAATGGTGCAAATAAAAGTAATAAATAGAAAAGAAATACAGTACTTTCCGCCATACACATTGCACCAACATATAAATTACATCAGTTCAAATATGTCTAATAAGTGGAAAAAAACATAAATAAGTCACTTCGCCGTATAAGTTGCATCTATTATGCGTCACCACTGACCACTTGGAAATGTGGGCCGATGTTGTGCCAAAAATCGATTGGCTGCCACATGGCAGCCGCGGGAGCATGCATGGGAGGACTTTAACAATGATTTAACAAGCTTAACACTTTAAAAACTATTATTTGTTTGCCCGACATTATAGCAAAGGTGTGTCTCAATTTAACTTTTCCTTAATAAATGCATTTTAATGGTCAAATCAATTGCATTTCAAAAGCCAATTCGCTGTGCATTTCTTCGAAATTTATCAAGATAATCATGTAAAAACAAATATTTGTTTGATCAACATTATAGCAAAGGTGTGTCTCAGTTGAACTTTTCCTTAATAAATGCACTTTAATAGTCAAAGCAGCTGCATTTTGCCTGGGTGGCACGACGAAATGCAGCTGAGTTGACGTTTGCTCCAGGAGTTCCGGAGCGAGACGAAGGTGACTTGGTATGGCAAGCCAAGTGGCTCATTAATAGCCACTTTTACCTATTAATGAGACACTTGGCTTGCCATATACTTGAGCGCCCTCTAGCTGCTCAAAACGGTAGTGTTTAATATTTTCCATGTCAGAATGAATGAACTCATCAGATCTCAGCCAGAAATTGGTTTATAAATATGGGAAAATATATATATATATTAGTCGTTTCGGTGTATAAGTCACAGAACTTGCAAATTTATGTAAAAAGGTGTGACTTATACAGTGAAAAATGCGGTAAATAAGTACAGATAAAAGTAGAACAAAAAATACATTTTAGTGGATTATCTGTAACTTAGTGATGAGAGTGTGCTCAAACGGTTTCTTTGAGTTGAATTTATTAGCTTAAGCATGTTAAAATAGTGTTTTTTTTAAAACAAAAATGTAACTTTAGCTGAATAGTGCTACCCATGCAGACATAGCTCAGGCAGACAAGCTGTAAAGTGCTAGGATTTTCAATTATTCATAGACATTCGTGGAAAACATGCAATGATTGAGTGTTTCCCCTTGAGAGACGTACTGTATCTGACTCTCCATCCTTCTGAGCCTCTCCTCAAGGTTTCATGTTATACTGTGTCTCTGTAATACACCGTGGAGGATCAAATTCACCCACACAGCAGAAATGTAAGAATGCAGTACCATCAGAATCTCTGACCTTGATACAGTCCTTATAAGAACAGAAAAGTCTGTTAAAGACTAAACGATAAAACTCAGCAGATTTAAACGGTTTTAAAAGTACGAGTTGTTTTAGTAAGCAGGAGGTAGTTGTGATTTGTCACAATTCTTTAAGGTGTTTTCAGTCCTGTTCAGTGGAGCATCCTGGGATGTGTTCATCGTGAACATGTCAGAGGTAATGAGTTGGTTTTGTGTTTGTGCAGGTCGGAGGTAAATGTTTGGCAGAGGCGATGTCTTACAACACGACTCTAACAGAACTCAACATCGGCCTGACCGAAGTTGATGAGCAGACCGCTTCCTTCATTGACAAGGTGGTGTGCACCAACCAGCTTAGAGCGCAAGAAACAGGCTGAACAGAAGAAACCAGGAAACATCAAACACCCTTAAAATAAATCTATTTGAAACAGTTGTTGAGCCACGGTGAGTAATCTAAAATCACTTTATATGAAAACTGTATCTCAAACAAAGAAATGTTTAACCACAAGGTGAAATAATATGGTCCATTCGTTTGTTTGTTTTTTAAGGAGTTTCTAATTCATGAATTATTTTGAAGGAAAAAAAGAACATGGAAAAATGTGTGTATTTTTTTAGTTTATGAACTGATTTGGAAAAAAAAATCTGTGTAAAAAAATGTTTGACCGTTTTGACTTTGTATATCAGAAAAACATTTATAATAACTCTGACAAGGTGAAACCATACGTACATTTTTGATACTGAAAACAAAAACAACGTAACAAATCAATTGAAAAGTCACGATGAACTTGATTTTCTGATTAATTGAATATTTAAACTGCATTTGTCTCACTTTTATTTCATACAGAAATGAAATTGTTGGGTCTTGTACAATTTTTCATTTGAAAAGTGTTTAAAATGTTAATTCGTCTTAAAACAACAGTTCAGATATTTTGAAGTGGGTTCTGTGGTGCAGTTAGGAACAAATCAGATATTTCTACTGGTAACTTTTTGAGCTACCGAGCAGTGCCACAATTAAAACTTTTTTTTTCCCATCTTGAAACATTTCCAGTATCAAAATTATTAGAACCATTCATTCAAATACTATATTTTAAAAAAAATCTTTACATTCCAGGTGGGAACAACCCACTTTAGTCTTTGCCCTGCTCGAACTAACCATTAGTTTGACACTTTGGTCAGAATCAATTGTTTAAAAAGCCATCTACAACAGGTAAGATATTAACTGTTTATATTCGTCCACGTCAATAGATCTGAACCATCCCTTTAAGCTGTTTTAATTTGAGTATTTAGTGTATAACAAGGGTCAGGTCTGGAGAAATTATGCAGTGTTCTTGTCGTCAGTGAATCACATGAAAGGACCCAAATTAGCAACGCACCAACAAGTATTCCTGGTGTGTCACGTGATACGTTCATCCAAAAATAATTCTGAACATATCAGCAAGTCGCGGCGCTGCACAGAATGTAACATTTTCACGACCATAGTGCTGCAGAAAATTTGATTTCAAAGGGACTTCTAAATAATTGAAAATGAAGCACGCGTTCCGCAGAACATTTACCGTGAGCTGTTTGAACACGTTACTGAGCCTCTTTTTCTGCCAGCATTTTATTTTAAACCTAAACGTCACAGAACACGAGCAGGATGTTAACGTTCACAAGCAAAAACAGTCATAGTCATGGAAACACTGAACACTCATTTTAGTGAGCATTTCTATTTATTGAACCGTTTAATCTCGTTTGATACAGATGTATTTGGTATTCAGTCCTCGTGTAACATCAAGGCAGCATCGTGGCGGTACTGAAATACATACGAACTTTTTCATCTTTACCTTATCTATTGGGAAACCAGTAATTAGTGTTACTCATGTCACGTTTTTCCTGTTTTTACCATTTTAAACAAAACCAGGTTTTATTCTTTATTGCAGATTTATTGTCACTAATCAAATAGAAACAATCTACTGTAAAGAACTTTTATAACATCAGTAGCTTCAGTCTCTTTGAAAGAAAAAACACATACTGAATGCACGGTGTAACAAAAATGTTAGTTTAAATGCATCACACGTGTGTTTGAAGGGAAAATTAACTTACACTTTGTATAAAACCTAAAAAAATTATTACAGAACGTATGCAAACATTTCAAACTGGAGTCGTGAAAGGGACTGTGCTGTGGATGGCAATTTAACAAACAGGAGTGATCATCTGTACATCAGTTTCCTCTGCTGTGGTAGCCTCAAAAAGTGTGTATATGTGTGTGTGAGACACATTCAGCTGAGCAAAATATATACCGTATTTTTCGGATTGTTAGGCGCATTAAGCGAAACTGAAACATTTTGACAGATTTTTGAGCGCTGTGTACCACGTAACATCAGTTTGAGGTCAGTAAGCACAACCAGAATTAATACATAAGGCTCAATGTTGATTTTTGAGAAAATTAAAGGATTTTAAGCGTGCCTTATAGTCCGAAAAATACAGTACATCCACGCTCACCCCATCTTATTTGCGGTACAAATCCTTTCTATACACAGATTTATACAAATATTAAAAAGGACCCCGAAGCATTTTGTGCAAGAGCAAATATTCTAATCTACTTGACAGACACGGTAAAGGGTTTTGGCGCGTTGCATGATGAAAGCTTTTGTTATTCATATTTAACAGTCATGTACAGTAAGAGTTTTAAAATCAAAGCTATGAGAGAGTCAGTCAGATTTAAACTCCAAATATTTTTTTCACTGTTTCTGTGTAAACATTGAACGCGTAAACACATTTTCTTCTACCCTTTACGCTCGTGGTTATGTGTAACTATCACAGTGAAGCCACTTTCCAGACCTTTTATTTGATCATGAATGAGACGATTTTAGAAAACGGTTCGGCCAGCACAAGTTGAATCGTACTCAAGAGTTAAAAGAAAAGAAGGCAAAGTTTCATCTTTAGCAGGTTTCGTGTGCTTGTTTTCTGAAAATGCAAGTCGTTTCGATACAACCAGCCCTTCACATCTCAGAAATAACTCTGTAATGGCTCAGAAAATGTAATTTAAGCTTTCTCAAAAAAAAGTCCTTGCTATTTTGTTAAAAGTGGCTAATGTTTTAGGCTAATTCAAATACAAAGAACAGGGTATCACTAAAAATGTTTAGTTACTATACGATAGTCAGTCTCAAACACAAATTGTACTCGTTTATAACTTACACATTGAATTGAACAAATGAGATACAATACCCCCAAATAAAACTCAGTATTACTTTCATGGACACAGAGTTACCAAAGTAAAAATAAAGATGTACGGTGAAATAATCATGAGTAATTAAACAGGCGATATGAGCTGTGGGAACATAACTATCCTCATATTTGACTTGCGAGTTGTTTTAAAATTGTCTACTTATTAATGATAATATTGTCCATCTAATTATGTGTTACAAATTCCAGGTCAAACAAATTACTCTGAAACTTTTGCTTTTGTTTGGAAATCCCTACAGTTTCAGCCACTTTACCGCAATTTATAAAACAATTGAATTCTGTGAATTTTGAAAATAAATTGAAGTCTGTATCTTTATGTACAAACCATTGGATTTGATTTATAAGTTTTTACTTCCTAAGAAGCCTTTCAGGACGTGGTGCAACCTGATTGCTTCGGTAATTAGTTTAAAACTTGGTTGTCTTTATGAAAAGACTGAAAAATTGCTCGTAAAAACGATTTTAACTCTCGCTGTAACTACATCCCACAACGACTGGATACAGAAGTGACAACAGAAAGTTTGTAGCTGCCCTAAATACTATCCTGAGTTTGAACGGGGTTGCATAGGTGCAAACAATGAAATTTAAGGTTTGACGTTTTGACTTTTCTCAAGCCTCATTTTCTGTTTTAGTGTATTTTTGTATTGCTATAAACGCCAAACATAACACTCCACTTGGAATGTAATGAGTATGATTTACTGAACGTTATCTACAGTTCTGGCTGTATATAACACACGTTGCAAAGAAAACACCTGAGCAAATGTGATACTATTCAATGATTCTGGTCCTTATATGCAACGTCATCACTGATAGGAAAATGAACAGAATGCATTTTCTTTAGCATATCTTCCCTGATCTGTTGATAATTCATGTCAGTTCTTCTAAAACTTATGATTTACAAATAAACTTCTTTATATTTTCGGGCAACGTGGTGGATTAGTGGTTGGTACTATTGCCTCACAGCAATAAGGTCCTGGGTTCAAACCCCAGCTTGGGCCTGTCTTTCCTTGTGGAGCTCGCATGTTCTCCTTATGTTTGGTTTTCTCCGGATACTTGGGTTTCCTCATGCAGCTCAAAAACATGCACGATAAACTGCCTTGAAAAAGAGATCTGTGATGTGGATTTCCTTGGTAAAATACAGGGTACTATTTAATTATTATAATGAGCTCTATATTTAAACTAATTCTATGAGTAGGACCACAAACAAGTACTGAGGCATAATGGAAAAAGATAAAAGAATCTTCTAGCTCACACCAAACCCACTATAAGTGCCAGTGGTCTACTTTTTAAATTTCAGTCAGTCTTTGATCACTTGCATGTGGTAGCCCAGTAGAAGACTGGCTGAGGAGATTGTTGGTTCTACACATGCAGATCATGTGGGTATTGAGAATTATTAAGAAAACCTATACTATGTACGAAACTGCACTTCCTGTGTACACCAAATCAGGAGCATGTCTAACAGGGGCTTTGCAATGAGACACATGAGTGATGCACAGAATTTTTACTATTCAGGTGCCTCAAAAGTACTACACAAGTACTCCACACTTGCTATTTTCATGATCCATAAGTAAGATGACTTTCTTTCCTCTGAGTAGCGAGCACAGAGTGCATGCTGGATGTAATACAAGAGACAGGACTGATATATATA